TATTTTAAAGTCAGATTTCATGTATTGCTAGATTCACAGTCTGGATTCTAGCCAGGTCTAACCTCTCTATCAGTTAAACAGCAGACAGGGGTCGAAATGTGCCCATACTAGTTCTCTGAGGATAGAAATAAAGATGAGGATTATCAACTAGTTAATGCAATCAGATATAACTCTATAAACCTTACCATAGTGCTGACATATTAAAATGAGTATAAAAATTCTTAGTAAAGAGATAATTTCTTAGAAGAATTAAGAAATGGCCATCTCCTTTAAGAAAAAACAACTGTTGGCCTGTCATAATTTTCTCTGAGGGTAGGTTTCAGGCTGAAAATGAGAGAGCTGTAGCTGTTTTCTTTAGTTTATTCCCTAACTCCTTTAAGTAACATATTACGGATTTGCATATTTTAGACAATCGAAGGAGAGCATGTATTATATAGGCTGTCAATAAAGTAAGAAAATCACATTCCTTATGATGGAAACATTTTCCAAAAAGTGCCTTTAAATTAATCAAAACTTCTTTTATCACAAGAAATACAAGCAAGTTTTTTAATGACTTTATGAATAAAAAACCCTATTCCATTATGTGCATATGTTCTTTTACTAATACCATGATCACCTCTACAAAGATTGGAAATCCAGATGTTTAGTTGTACTTCCAGCATATAGCATATTTAGAATCCTGTAAGATCTGTTATGAATTACAGTACAGGGTGCACAGTCTTCACAAGGATGTTTCTTGAATGACATGTGAGGAGGAGACCCAGGAGGAGCTGATGGACCTGCTAGCCTATGGGATAGGAGACGGTCTTAATCTTTGTAAACTATGTCTTCTTCCTTTGAATATCATTCACAGTGGAAGCCAGATGGGACTTAGCAGTGAACTGAGTAATAAACTGAGCAAGAGCTAAAGGAACTTTTGTTTGATGGAAGACCACACTGGGCAGTTAATTCTTGGTAGCTTGGTATGGTGGGTTGACCCAAGCCAACAACTAAGCACCCGCCATCCATGCACTCACGCTACCCTCCACAGTGAGATGGGGGAGAGAATTGGAAAAGCAGAAGTGAGTAAATCTTGTGGGCCAGGATAAAAACAGTTTAATAAGTGAAGAGAAAAAATGAAAAAACCCCAACCAACCAACAAACTCACTACCAAGTGATACAAAAGCAATCACTCACCACCTCCCACCAGCAGGCCAATGCTCAGCCAGTCTCTGAGCAACAGCTACCTTAGAAAGACTACCCCCAATTCTATTGCTGAGGATGATGCTATATGGTATGGACCATCCCTTTGGTCATTTGGGGTCAGCTGTCCCAGCTGTTTCCTCTCCGAGTCTCCAGCCTATTTGCTGGGGGGCAGGCAGCATGAGAAACAGAGAAGGTCTTGGTGCTGTGCAGGCACTGTTCAGCAATTGCTAAAACATCAGTGTGTTATCAACACTGTTTTAGTCACAAGTCCAAAACTCAGCACCATACGGGCTGCTGTGAAGAAAATTACCTCCATCCCAGCCAGACCCAGTACACTTGGGATTACAGGAGTCAGACCAGATAATAAATATGGTAATGGAGTTGAAGTATAACATTTTGATTCCATTCGTATGTCTGTCTTTTCTCTCCTGCATGGCTTGATTGTTTATGTACATCATTGTTGTACAACCTTCACATGGTTTACGTAAGAAAACCCATTGTAGTAAAAGCTTTAGCTCTAAACTTGCACTCCTTATCTAAGCAGTCTGCTTACTGAGTTCTCTTCTTTCAATTACTTCTTATACTGATTGAACTCACATCTGAATCAGCAGCTCTTGAAGAGATGAGAGTGATCGCTCTTTCAAGTGTGACTTGTGACACCAAAGAGAGTAACACATTGGCACAACTGATATTGATGGTAGTTCTACCACTAATTTTAGATGTTTGTGGTAAATCTCCATATTTTGAATTCTAGGGCCTCTGTAGAATTTAGAGGTCTTGGGATTACAGTGCTTCGATATGTAAATTGCTGTGTAGTCCTACCTCTCAAGAGCTCCAGGAAAGGCACTCTGTAAATACTGATGCCCTAAAAGAAGGTAGAACCATATTTTTCTGAGAGACAGGTTAAGTTCTTGAAGTATTGTTTATGTCAAATTTTCGTTACCTGTGGTAACCAACTGTGTTCCGAGAAAGTAATGTGATCGTATGGTGGTGTTACCTATGGTTGTTACAGCTTCTGCTAATGTGCTTTTGCTCCTGTGTTAGATTTTTTTCTGCTTCTTGTGATTAACATGTAAAGAGTATATCAGGCTACTTATCAGGCAGATAAAATTTGCCATCACAGAATTGAGCTAGATACAACATATGTTCAGATGTGCATGGTAAACAAACCTGAAAGGAACACAGTTGTGTTTTCTAGAGCAGACTTACATTTCGCACAGTTGCTTGCTTAGAAATACATTACCAGCTAATTGGTGAGCTAAATAGATTTTACTCCATGCACAAAACTAAATTTCTCCACTAGAGAATTTAGCTTTACTTCACAGTCCTCATTAATTGTTCTCATGTTATTTTATATAATGATATCTAATGATGCAAAACAGAACATAAGCATGGGGTTAAGGTTAAGGATTTAAACATAACAAAAATCAAGCATTACTGAGTTAGGGTTGAATGTTTACCCAGCTTTGACTGCAGTAGTTTTCACGTGTAGTCACTGAAATAGCATCTCGTTACATAATAGAATATTCTTTCTCAGGTGTCGTAATACAGAGTAACATTCTTTCATGTAAATTATTTAGTATAACCTACAGTTGACAGGGTGAAACACCTAAAAGTCACACAGTGAAAGGGTTATTTTTTAGAGTAACTGTGATCTGTGCACCATACACATATAGGGCTAAATTTTTAAAGGGGTCTCAAATTTCCCTCTGATTTTATATCCTCAGTCTATTTCATGCATGTATGATAGGATTAAGATATCTGAGTTTTTGACTTCAGTCACTAATTGATATATCTTAATCCTTTCATATCTGTCCGTAAAATAAGAGGCCATCTTTAAAAATTTCACCTAAAGTGCTCAATTTTGCCTTCAGATACCTCCATGCAACTTCCATTGAAGTAATTGGAGCTGTGCCTGCATATCTGATGGTGGAACTGGACTCATTGCAATTAAGGTACACATTTACCGACATAATTAGTCATCTGGAATAATCGCTGGGCCCAGTGTGACATTCTGCATGTGCAGAATTTCCTAGATTGGACCCTCTGCGTGTGGGAGATTGAAGATTACGATGATAACTTTATTCCTTGCCTTAAATTTGTAGCTATAGCAGAACTTTAATGTCATTTGCTGTATTTAATTTTCCTGTTTTAAATAAGAAATGTGGAAGGAGGACATGAAAACAACATATTTTTCACAGTGATGTCTTTGTATATTTCTTCATACCCAACCAGCGCACAGACATTCCATGATTTCCACGAACACGTTACGGATGCACAATCGCAATTTGTGCAACAGCACAAGTTTAAAGTATCCAACCCTGAGTGTACCGCTTTCTTTTTGTATCTTTGTGCTTGCAAAGCACAAACAAAAAGTAGATGTGTAAGGAATCCCACAGTTAACTAGCAGCATAAAACCCAGATATGATAACATTGGTATCTCTTAATTCACAATACAGATCTGTAAACAACTTCTTAGCATACTTATTTTCCCCTAATTTAAAATTCTCCGTGTTTTGTGATTGATTTCATGCAGCTTTTAAATTGGTGTCTCTCTCCTGTCACTGATCTGAGGAGGGGCTGTTTACAAAAATCTTGACTTTTAAAACTAATGGTTTTGGAAGAGTCATATAAATCCATGGCTGACCCAAAAGCAGAAGATTTTGCAGAGGTTTTCCCAAATAGAATGCCAGTCTTGAATTTGTGACCACACAAAAAATTCCAGCTAAAAGAAGTTGTTCTGGGATATAACCTGTATGTTATAACCTGTTAAAACACAGTGAACATAGTGAGTACTCCTGTGATTTAGAATAGTGATTGATGAATATTTGGGTCTAGTTCTAGAACTGTTAAAAAGTGCCAGTTTTCAACGTATTGGTTTTATTGGTATTCCTTTGCATTTATAGTGCTACCAAGTTTAAGAATGGCAGATTATATAGTTCCCTCTGAAAATTATCTGTTACCACAAAGGTTAACTTATTTTAAGGAAGCCTTAGCCCAGGGGCTTTCACACCACTCTTTCCGTTAGTGCAAGGTCATCTTCCTCTGGCAAGCACAGCCAATATTAATTGCCATAACTTGTTCAAATTGAAGAAGATGCTCTTTATAGCACCACAACTTCTTGAAGGTTTAAGATTAGATTTCTTTTTTTAAAAAAACATTTTCATAGGGAAATTGAAAACACAAGAACAAATAATTTCTTTGAAATAGAAGTGAACATTAGAGAGCAAAGTAGTGCTTTTAAAGGATTTTTTGTTAAAAAAAATTACTAGCAAATTACTGTATTTTTTACTATGACTGATTGAATAGAGAAATTATTCCTCAAATAATCTTTAGCTATGGTAAGCAGTTATGTTTTAAGATAGTAGTAGGAGTTAATTACTTAAAAAATAAATTTTAATAACCTGTTTAATGCATTAATTCTTAGAATGTTACTGTAATATTTTCTACATTTAAGCAAATACATGGTTAGATGATCATGGATTTATGTCCCCTGCATCCAGAATACTTAACAGGTTTATAATTCAGCCTATCACCTAAATTCTTTCACTCTTTTCATATCTGTTGAACCAGCCTGGTTATATATAGGAAATTGGGATGTCTGCCCATTTTCAGGTAAAGACTCTCGCAATGGAAGTGGTTGATTTCTTGACATTAGTGTTCCTTTGTTCTGTGTTTACACCCTGCTTGTTCTACATGTTTGTACATTTCTTTGTTTCGTTGAGATGGAAATAAGTTAAAATTCTTGCTAAACCGTTTGTTTTTCCAAAAGGTTTTCGCTATTTTTAATTGATTTTCATTGTGTGTTTTTGCAGCAAGCTTAGTAGTGGAGGAGCGAACGAGACAGATGAAAATGAAAGTGCACCGTTATAATCAGACATCAGGGTCTGGTTCTAGCCAAGAACATGAGCGTGAGCAATATACCAAGGTAAAGTCAGTAGTATTGAACTGATACTTTGGCTTGAAAATTGAAGGCATAAACCTGTTTATTTAAAATACTATATAACCCGCAAGCACACTGTGTTATAAAGCCTGACAGAAATGTCTTTGAGTAATAGCTTTTTAACATCATTTTTACCCCCATCTGATGTGCATTAGACTTAGTCTTTGATGTCACCTAAAATGAATCTGCAAAAAGCAGAACACATCAAAACTAATTCAGGGAAGAAAGATCCTTCAACAGCTGTTAAACAAAGTCCTGTCACCTCTGGCTTAGGAAGTCCCTGGCCTGTAAATCCCTGGAGGCTGGAAAAGTGGGCCATGGAAGTATCATTGTACGTTGGCCCTACTCCCTTGTTCTTCTCTAGGCCTTTGCTGTTGTCTGACATGTAGAGAGCTAGGCAGAATTAGATCCAATCCCATGCAGCTGTTCTCACATTTGTATAATTTTTTTGCATCCTAATAATGTCACAGATAAAGTATTTCCTTTCTTGAAATACATACTGATTACTTTGATCTCCTTTTTTAATAAAAGGGTAAAGATTTCCTCTGATAGTTATGTACATGAAGTTACATTAATGAAGTTAAAGAGGGACCTTTTTTTTTTCTTGATAATGCTAAAATGATATCCCACAACCTTGTAAGTTTAAAACTGTATAGGCTTCTGAGCAAACTGCTGAAAATGTCTCACACATCTGCACCGCCTCTTACAAATCAAGCTGTGAGGGGCTGGAGCTGAACTTTCTGCTAAAGATGTTTTGCCTTGTGACACCTAACGGAGGGGGAACGTTTGCAGAAGTCATGAGGGGAAAAGTTTAGTTAGATTCTGTGTTTCCTTTCAGAGGTACGGCACTGTGTTGGTGTAGGCAAAGTAAAGGGCAGGGACAAAACCAGCGGTAACTCAGTTGTGTGGGAAGCGTTCCTGCAATTCTCGTCTTCCGGTGCCATTGAGAGTTACGTGCTTTCAACCAGTGACCACAGGATGGCAGTATGAATGTAAAAGTCCACCGTAAAAAATTCAAAGACACACAGCAACTGTGTGCGTTAAAAATAAGGTCTCAGAATAACAGTAGTTGGAAGAAAATCAGAGCTTTTATTAATTTAGACTTTCATGCTTCAAGAGCCACATTTCAAAGACTTTCTTCACATCGGTAAGAACTAAATGCTTGTGTTTTTACTTCTACGTTTTAAGAGAGATGCACTTTCCATTTGTGAACCAGTGCCATACAGAAAACAACAAACATTGTCAAGCTCTCAACAGCTGCGGACATCAGAACGCTCCTGGCATTTATTGCGGTAGCGCAGGCACCGGGCATTCTGCCCCTGCCCCTCCAGGGTCACTTCCCTGTGTTTTGCAGAACTGCTGCATGCTCCCGAAGGCACAGGTTAAAATAACGGATAACCAAGGTACTCAGCAGAAACAAAATCCGAAATTTACTTAGGAATGGGTAAATAGGCAATTGGGCGTCTAACTTGTAGTATCTAACAGATTTGAAAGATTTGTTCAAGCTCTTGTAACTCTTAACTGTAAAGTTAAATATGAAGACAACTTTAATAAGGATGTTTCTTTTTTGAGACCACCCCACTGTGAACATAGAACTTAAATGAAATAGTTCTTAAAGGGAAGAGAAATAAGAGAAACAGGGCTTTAGGTCCTCAATTGCCAAATTGTGGGATATCAGTGCTATTAAAAAAAAACCCACAATTGGGATGGAAATTTCCAGTGAGATCATCTGTCAGAAGCCAGAATTTGTATAATAATTAGAACCCCTCATTTGATATTGGGTTTGCCGTTACCTTCACAAGAGGTCAACTCAGGACAAGAGGGTGAGATGCAGTGTGTCTCTGTGGTACTTCCCAACCAGTTAATGTGGTAATGTGGTAAAAAAATAGTAAAAATGCATTTGATAAAGTTTGCAGGAGTAATGTGCGATCTGGCCAGGATGACCAAACATATACCTTTGTACATAGTCAAAGGCCAGTTTTCTGATTTCAATTAACTGTGCTTACAGATTGATTCAAATGTTCGTATTTTTTTCATTATGAAACATATTTTTTATCCTGACTCTCTTTAATAGTTATCATAAGCATTATTTTTGATCCTCAATATATTTTTCTTATTGTGCTAATGTAAATCCCACGTATGGTGAAATAGTTGTTGGAAAACATCAATCTGCACTGTTACCAATTTCCCCTATCCTCTAGTACCTAAAGTTTTCTAGTATCATCTTTAGTTTTTAACTATATGTGGAAATGAAATCAAAATTGAAATCACAGCATGATGAGTGCTGGATGGAAAGAACTCTGTTGAAGTATTGTTTATTCAGAATTTTTTAAAAAGGTAAACTTTAAGGAAGCAAATTCTCTGTCCATTGTTACAAGAAAAATATTTTTGGGGTACCTGGTGTTCTGAAAGACATCGGCTCCTTTCCATGCTAAAACAGTAGTAAGGAGAATTAATGACTTATACTGAACTTTAAATCAAAAAACCTTTAACTTTTCATGTATTTTCTACATGATAATGGTGTAGTCCTAGATAGGATGGTCCAACCTATAATAAATTTTTAAGTGCTGAGAACAAATTTAATTAGCACATTCTAACACTCTGTACTATATTCAGTGATGTAGCTGTTTGCTTCATATCACTATGGTGATAGTCATCACTTTAAAAATGTTACTAAAGCAAACCTTGTGCTACTGTCTTTTGTTACCCTCAGAAGATGGTGAAAGAGTCAAGAAAATAAACCAGACAGATGAAGATTTAGACAGCTCTAATGAAAATATAGTAAGTCATATGGGGTGGTGCAGTAAAGCTGATGACTGAGACTTACAAGGACTTCAGGCTATTCCTAATTTCTGCTGCCAAAACCTGTGAAAAGTCTTTGAAAGCTGCAGGAGCAAGACTTACTTTAAATAAAAAAGAAAAGATGTTCAGTGCTCTAATAGGCATTTTGGAATAGTGAGAAAGAAATATTAAATAGCTATTAAAGAAATGGCAGTTGCAAGCAGAGTTTGTCCCTCTTTAAGAGAAATGCTTCTTTCTTTCCCAAGTAGCAGTGTTTGCCCACTGCTTCAGAAAATAAGTATATATATTTATTAGAGAAATTATGCTGTGCTGCACATTGAGAAAATATTCCCTTCTGCTTTTCAGAGCAATCAGCTCACGTGGATTTGATTCTTCCACTACTTTAGCATTTGCAAATATGCTTGGTTTATTACACATAAAATTCTCTAAACCTTTGTCGTGGTTTAACCTCAGCCAGCAACTGAGCACCACACAGCTGCTTGCTCACTCCCCCCCCACAGTGGGATGGGGGAGAGGATCGGAAGGGTAAAAGTGAGAAAACCCGTGGGTTGAGATAAGAACAGCTTAATAATTGAAATAAAATAGTAGTAGTAATAATAATAAAAGAATATACAAAGCAAGTGATGCACAATGCAATTGCTCACCACCTGCTGACCGATGCCCAGCCAGTCCCTGAGCA